AAGTCAGTTAGATAAGTGCCATCAAACCATCATTTGTTGCTGTTGTTAATATGCCTGCCGCATGTCCTTTAGCTTTCTAAACCGAATTTGATTATACTCCATTAGAAGATAATTATGTCAAGCTTGTAGGTTATCTCGGCATGCACATCTTTTGTGCACTAGCGTGCATGCAATGAGGGCACACCTGCACATACACACACAAACACACACACACACACACATACTTCACGGTTTCAGCTACATGTTATTTTCAATTCCAGCACTGGGAAACCTCAAAAGAACCAACTCTATTTAAAGACCTACAAGTACAATGTATACAGAAGGGAACTAAGTGCACATACACTGAAGTCTTCATATGATCCATGAAAAATAATGAACTGTACAACTTATTACATTCTCTTTATCTCTGTTTCCTTTCTCTGATCGAAACCCAGCATTCAGAGAGAGAGAGAGAGAGAGAGAGAGAGAGAGAGAGAGAGAGAGAGAGAACATACAAAGTTTTTCTACATCTTTAATAACAGGTCAATCTCTCAAAGAACCAAAGAAACTGTCATTTATTACTATTATACTGGCATTCAGACTTCAGTGAAATATCAGACTGACCTAAGAAAAAAAAAATCCAGGATAAAGTAATGTTCTAATTGCAGGAACTGCAGTGAAGCAAGCGAAGGTCAAATGTGGCACAGGTTTCATTTTGTGGTCTAATTTTGAAGAAGGCATGTGATACCAGAGGCATGTAGAAAAGAAAACCATTTCCACAAATAGAACCTTGTTCAGTGCTAAATATGTGTCATAAACAGTTTTTGTTAACAAATAAGAGTGTCCATAGTGCTACATAAGCCCCTCATGACAACTGACTTAGAAGTGCATAACTATTTATCCAGGCTCATATGAACCATGTATCATAATGCTTTCTTTAAATTTGCTGTAAAATTAAGTCATACAAGTATTCTACCACTTTCCGGGCTGACTTACATTAGAACATCATGACAACTGACTTTGGAATTCAGCATAATACTGGTACACCAGAGTCATATAATGGTGAGAGGTAAAGGAATATAAATGGAAACCATTGCACAAACACAGGCATTTCCAAAAGATGCTGAATCTCCTGAATCTGGTACTTGGTGGGAATAACATCAACGTTAAAAACTACTTTATAAGACTGATACATAGTTCATCACACTGTAACAAAAGTGTTGTATACAGTAAATGCGTGTCAGCCTGGGAAAACCCTTCATATGGTGAAACTTTGACATTTCTATTACAGTAAGATCTGAAACGACATGATTTCCTGAAATGAAATGTTTCTCGTTTGCATGTATCTCAGTTAGAAGTAAAAATCTGGTTACCCACAGAGTGAAAAGCAAGAAATCTTATGTCCTAAATGCACTGAAAGACACCAACACACTGATTGTCTAAAAGCAGCTACTATTTTTTTATTTAATCTGCATTAAAGTTAAATGACCATGAAAATTATGTCTATTTTTATACCAGCATTAATAGGCTATAAAGAACTCCTGCCCACCAGCACTCAGTTTAATTGACAGTCTCCTCACTTGATGGAGATGTCAGACATAGTGTAATTCAGTAAGTTCTGCCCGTTGACTAAATGTTCTATTTTTAAATTTTTTTTTTTTTTGATAAGCATTCAGACATTACAACTGCTGATCCATGGATCTGTTTGATGCGTTTGCCTGGATAATTTGACAGCTGGTATTTATATAATTTACATCTGAATCTGTTAGTTTTATGTCCAGCATGACACACAGTGCGTGACAAAAACACACTTAGCTAACAAGCTAGCAATTAAAACTTGAAATCTTTAGACAGACTGTGACTTTTTTACAGCTTGTGTGTTAAACTGTCTCCTTCTGTAGCCAACGTGATCTTTGCAGAAATCCAAGGCAAGTTTGGAAAGTACAGAAAAATCATTTTAGTGAAATACTACAACCCAGTCTCACAGAAAAAGTGTTCTGGTGCAACTTATTTGCAGCAACTTTTATAAATTGAATATCAGCGTTCTGTCACAAGCATACGCTGCATAGCAACATATCAGATACTCTGTATGAGCCGTTCTGCACCATATTTTAACCAAGCTAACCTCTACCACTACGCTATTTGAATAGGATCAATATGTAATAAGTAATCCTACCTCTTTTTAAACATTTTGAGCGCTTTCAAGACATATGATTAGACTTAGGGGGTCATGAAACTTCTCCTCTTCTCTCCAAACACAATTGGGCTTGAAAGACACGTGGTAAAATGAGAATTTATAAAATAGTGTAAGCCTGATTGTGTCTGCAGAGAAAAGGATGCTGGTAAGTCTAATCATATATTGTGGAAAGCACAAACTTTTACGAATGAAGTGAATCAATGATCAATATGTTAAAAATTATGTATGACATTACATATCTTCAAATAGCGTAGTAGTAGAGGTTAGCTTGGTTAAATGACACTGGTGCAGAACGTAAGATACAGAGCATTCGAGTGAAAGTTTGATACGCTGCTATGCAGCATATGCTTGTGACAGGATGTCGATATTCAATGTATAGAAGGTGCAGCAAATAAGTTGCATGCGAACTTTTTTTCTGTGGGACCGGGTTGATTTGTGTCATATCAGAGTAGAGTCATCGTCGGGGTCTCTGGAGGACTAGGGGCTAGGCCTCGGCGCGCTCACTGCTGCAGCCCGGGTTCGATTCCTGGCCAGGGAACCGCACATGACAGAGCACTCCAAGTGCTGGTCCCAAGCCTGGATAAAATCGGGGAGGGTTGTGTCAGGAAGGTCATCTGACATAAAAACTGTTCCAAATTAAATATGCGGACCAATGATCCACTGTGGCAACCCCTAATGGGAGCAGCCGAAAGAACAACAACAAAGTAGAGTTGTCAAAGTATGTTAACTCAATTTAGCTCAAAACACATTTTTATTTTGTCCTTTTTGGCTGTTTGCCAGAATTCATCCACAGCAATATCTCCAACCACCACAATTTTTTTCTAACCCTTAAAGGAAAAGTCCACCCTGAAACACAATAATTATGTTTGTACTGAAATATCTGTGTTGTGCTTAATGATTCTGGTGCTAATTTGCTAGACGTTAGCAGTCTCATGTTTGTGTGGCACACCGATGTCACAGGGAGACACTGCTAGCATAGTTACAATGATGACTCATAAGAGAAAAAAATGAAACAACCTTAAACATTAGGGAAAACCCACACGTTACACTGTTATCTCCTAAAAAGTAGAAGAGTTTCTTTTCTCCAGCAACATTCAATGACATAATGAGAAGGCCAATTAAGAAATAATAGAGACAGTAGACGTTGATGATGGTATTAGCATGAAAGTTGAAGCTTTGGAGCCTGATCTGTTTGAACAGAGTGTACAGATGAGGGGGTAAGAGAGCTGGGCTCTGTAGGTAGAGGTATAGAGAATCAGCAGGTATAGATAATCAAATGGCTTTGTGGGAAAAGTAGGAAACCATTAAACAAAATGAAATAAAGTAGATTCAAGCAAAGTCAACTCAAAATTTCATTACAAATGGATGCCACTGAAGATCATTTGTTAATTATAAAGATTAATCTGCTAAAGGTGGTTAAGTCTGCTTCTTATTTCTGCTAATAAGCTATTCATAGATATTTATGACAATGCAGGGACAGTGTATATTTTCTCTAATTTTGCTTTTTATGATTTTTATGATCACTCATGGCAATGTGATGTCGCTAAGTTATGTATATTTTCTCTGACCCTAAACTGGAGTTGGTTTTGATATCACATCATTACCATTATATGACTCTGACATACCAGGAGTGCACTGAGCTAAAAAAATCAGTTGTTATGACATTCTAATGTAAGTCAGCCTGGAAAAAATGTCATAACACACAACACAAATCACTTGATTCAGATGTTATTAAAAATCAGTTTATGACAGCTAATGTGTGTTGGAGTAAGTGTTAATAAATGTATTTGCATTGTCTTGTCATCTCTGAAGTCTCTCATGTCAATGCAAATACATTTATTAATGTAACATTTATTAATGCAAATACATTTACATTTAACCATTAGGTTAAGTTTAACCTAATTTTTTTATTGGCTTTGGTAAATAATGTAGATTTTTTTTCTATTGGGCCATTTAACCCTTTGGTACTGGCTAATCCGTACATTTGCTAGTGGTATTGTTAATAAAAAGTGATCAGACATATGAGTTTTCTTTTGCCATTGCTACAAATACATATACACTATATGGCCAAAAGTTTGTGGACCATCACACCCAAATGTGCTTTTTAAAACATCCCATCCCAGATTTAGTCCCCCTTTGCTGTTATAATAACCTCCTCTCTAATAACTAGATTTTGGAGTGTGGCTGTGGGGATTTGTGCTCATTCAGCAGCAAGAGCATTAGTGAGATCAGGCACTGATGTTGGACGAGGAGGTCTGGGGGGCAGTTGGCGTTCCAGTTCATCCCAAAGATGTTGAGTTCAGGGCTCTGTGCAGACCACTCGAGTTCTTCCACTCCAGCCTTGACATACCATGTCTTCATGGAGCTCGCTTTGTGCACAGAGGCATTGTCATGCTGGAACAGGTTTCGGCCTCTTCGTTCCAGTGAAGGGAAATTGTAATGCTACAGCATACAAAGACATCCTATACAACTGTGTGCTTCCAACTTTGTGGCAACAATTTGGGTAAGAAACACATACAGTATGGGTGTGATGGTCAGGTCCACAAACTTTTGACATTATACAGGGCGTCCCAAAAGTCTCCATACATAGGGGGACCTTAACACTTTTTAGCAAAATGTCTTCCATACTATATTTTATATATATAAATATATATATATATTTTTCAGATAGCCTTTAAGAATGCCTTTGACAAAAGAAGAACATATTGAAATCATTCTCATGGCTGGATCAGGAAGCTGTCACAAGGTTGCGATGGACTTTATCAGGAAACATGGCAAACACATCACACACAACACTGCTGCCAAATTTATTAACAAATTCAAAAAGACTGGAAGTGTTGTGGACCAACTGACGAAGGCACAACCGACATGGTGCTGGCCTTACATAGTTCATTGTGTATGGAGACTTTTGGCACACCCTGTAGTGTATTTATGATTATGAATGTGTAGGAAATACATGAACAAATATACATTGATGTCCTTTTATTTAAAACCTTGGTGTTTTACTTTATATATTTACTCTCAGGAATGAGGAGCATGACAAATTTCTCACAAGAACTTTCCACATTCTCAGAGCGCTGCCTCTTCTCATGACACCTTGTTCCTGTTTTGTGCTACTAAAAAAATAGTTCCATTGACACTGTGTACACTGTACACTCTCTAACTCGACGACACGTTACATGTCATACGTCATTTCCCCAGGTGTTTTACCTACTGCAAATCAGTGTAGACTCATAGTTGAACTTCAGCTTGTGTGAATTAGGGTTTTAGGTTGCAACTGTGCTGTTGATATAATGATAACTCACTGTTCGTTCTCTCAATTTTAGCTAAATTTTAGACCAGAGAAATAGGAACATGGGGATAGTTTTTACTGAACACTTCTAAACCCTTAAACTACACTTGTAAGGCAAATATTCCCAGAACCAGTCTTATATCAAACAGAATCATATAATTCTACAGTCTCATGCTTGAACAACCAGAAACGATCAACACAACCAAAACCTCTTCCAATACAAGCTAAAGCCTTTACAAACGTTGCTGAAAAGGGTTTCAAATTTGCCGGACAAAATAACAGAAAAGGAAACAATTCTCTCAGGAACTCTCAACAAAACCTTCACACGTGCATATCAAACCTCTATCTTTAAAATCTTTTTTTTTTTTTTTTTAATAGAATATCACTAGAGTTAAAAAGATATCATCATGGTTTTGTGTTCATTTCTCTTCGCAGTCATATCTCCAAGGCCATGATGCGGGACAAAAAAAAATCAATACCAGGTTTATTTGGCACTTAAAAAATGCTTCCAGAATGTGATGATGTGAAAGGTCTTCACAACGTCAACAGTAAGGAATGCCTCTCCACTGGTTGAAGAAAATAAAAGCTGTAATCACGGTCATTGTGAGAACAAGAAAATAGCAATTGCAATCTAGTGATAGTACAACTGTGATCTCACAACCAAAGAGGAATAATTTAAAGTAAAATCAACAGCACAGTAAGACAAAAAAAAAAATACTGCATAGTACAAAGTCCCCCTTCTGTTTGCTGCAAAATGCTATTCAGGGCAGATGATGGAGAGGGCAGTGTATACAGAGATTAGACCCATTCCAGCTTTCGGAAATATAAACACATCTGCAAATCGCAGTTCTGATATGAGTTTATCTGTTCCTCGATGCTTACTCTATCACAGGCTCAGTTTTGTGAAAAGCCAGTGTTTGTTATTCAGGTTCACTGCTGTTGGTGGTCTTGTCCCACTCGAAGCTATCATCACTGTGGGTGGGTGATGCCCGTGGGGTCCCTGGTGGGTGCACTCGCAGCCCCTGGAAACGTCTGCACTCGGGGCAGATGCGGATGTGGCTGCAACCACGTGCCACAATGGCTGCCTCCTGTGCCAGTTTGTGGGAGAGTGGCTCTGACAGTCCCGTGCCTGCGCACAACCTGCCGTTGCTGAGGCTGGTCCCTGTGGGCCGAGCACGTCTGTCCTCCGCGGGTAGAGGATACGGGCGCAGAGTGCTGGTGCCACCACTACGTCTCCGTCGCAGCTGCAGGCTGTCCTGACACAGCACGATGCCTTGCAGCTCCCGCAGCATCTCCTCACACACTGACAACTGAGAAGCATATACACATAGAGAGAGAGAGAGAGAGAGAAAGAGAGAGAGAGAAAGAGAGAGAGAGGTAGGGGGGCTCACTGATACACTGCAGCCAGAGTTATTAGAAGACAGAATTATTAGGCAACTCCAGTCTCAAAGAAAAAAAAAAACCTTTGCATACAACTTATTTGCAGCACCTTCTATACCTTGAATATCAACATTCTGGCACAAGCACACATTCCATAGCGACATATCAAACTTTCACTCGGATGCTCTGAATGTCACGTTCTGCACCATTGTGTGTATTTTAACCAAGCTAACCTCTACCACTATGCTACTTTTATAAGATTGTAATAAATGTAGCATTATACATAATACATAATATGTAATAAATGCTTTGACCTCTTTTTCTACATATTGCGTGTAGCCCGCTTCATGCGTAAAGTTTGTGCTTTTTGCTACATACTGTACGATTAGACTCACCAGGCTCATGAAACTTCTCCTCTTAATGCAGGCATTTTCAAAATGCAGATAGTTTTTAGGCTGTAAATTCTTTAGGCTACTGAGAATACAGATAATTTCTGCATTATGAAAATACCCGCATTACTGTACCGCGTGATTTTCAAGCATGATTGTGTTTGCAGAGAAGAGGAGAAGTTTCATGAGCCTGGTAAGTTTATATCGATATAAAATGATTTATTATATATCAATCTTATTCAAATAGCATAATGGCAGAGGTGGGCTTAAATTACATTGGTGCAGGATGTGGTATACAGAACATTCGAGTGAAAGGTCTAAGTGGCGTATACTTGCGCCAGGACGTTGATTTTCAAAGTGTAGAAGGTGCTGCTAATAAACTGCATAAACTGAATGTTTTTTTTTTCTGTGAGACTGGGTTGTTATTAGGAGAAACTGAAAACTAATTAAAGTGACATACAAATGATTTAAACTGTA